TATATTTTTATTATCATTCTTTTTTTTAACTTAAAATATGTTTAATAATAATTAAAAAACTTTTTTTTTAGTTTTTAGATTTGTTATCTTTAAAAATAAAATATTACCGGATATTCAATTCAATAATTGGCTATTTTGTTTAATTTGATTAATCATCGTCATGCTGACTTTCAACAAAGAGAAAATACGCCTAATTATTAAAGTTTGATTTCGATATTAGTTCGATTACCATGCGAATGAGCTGCTAGGGAAGGGGCAGGGGGGCAGCCTAAGGAGTACTATTCACATGTGTTTTAGTTTTGCTGTTGAAAACTCTTTGCAATCTTTTTTCGAGCACGAGGTCGAACAAGAAAAGCACAATGCAAGGCATGAATCAGCGCCGCGTTCATTTGCTCCGTGACTGGCGGAAGGAGCGACAAGTGTGGGGAGAGGGGAGAGTGACGTGGGCAGAGCAGGTGGTAAGGGCATCGGCAGACGGCAAGGCTGTTAATTTTTGTTTTATTTCGTTTCACGCGCTGTTTCAGCTGTTGTTGTTGTTGTTGTTGCTGTTATTCTTGTTGCGCTGCATGTATTAATAATTCTGCATTTTTGCAATGAAACAAAGAAACGTCGTTTATTGATTTGTGTGCGTGACTCATTAGTGAATAATAAATGCGAAAAATGAGCAAAGAAACAAAAGAAAAGAAAAAAAAAAAAACAACAGCCAAATTTGGCGCATCAGGAAGCGCAGCTAACTTAACAAAATTGAAGAGAGGCCATGCGTGCAAGTGTATGAGTGTGTGTGTGTGTGTGTGTGTGCCTGTTACACAATAGCACTAGCTAACACAATACTCGCTTTCAATTCTAACGGTAATGCAATGCATATCGAATGCAGCTCGTTTGCGGGTGGATGGTTTGGGTAGAGATTTACGATATTCAATATTATTTATTGCCATTGGCATTGATTTGAGGTGTTGCTGCTGCTGCTGTTGCTGCTGCTGCCGTTGCTGTTGTGGCATCCACTCGAACGTATTTTCAGTTTCGATTTCAGTTTTCATGGCTTTCTGTTTGACTTATTGAATTGAGTTATAACCGTAAATGGTTCGTCTTTATGTTCCGACAGATAAGGAAAGAGAATGTGCATACACATGGGTTTATATAGATATTTTATGTTTTTGAAATTGCACTCGTTTGCATTGAGCACGCTAATCGACTGTATATTTGTTGAACTAGTTCAATTTATGAACATTTTAAGCTAACTTTGGCTTATGTGAACATTTAGTAGTTTGCATTTTGAATCCATGCTTTTTCTTCTTCTTGTTCTTATTTTCGTTGCTTTGCAGCAACTGAACAAACGAACGCCTGTCTCCCTCTCTCCCCCTCTCTGTCTCTTTCACTGATTAAACTTTGAGTCATGCCGCTTCGATAGCTGCTTAATATAGTAGGTAATTGAACTGCAGCTGCGCCCGGTCTGCGTGTATGTGTGTGTGTGTGTGAGTCACAGTGAATCAATCGAATCACCCAAAATGACTCACACACACACAGCCAGCGGGCCATATATCACAGATGTCAGAATTACTGTTACACAGTAGCTAAACAAATTTGATATGGAACTCAATGTAACCGCAACAATTACTCGATACATGCTCGATAAGATACAGATTGAAAATCTTACAACATGTGTGTGTGTGTGTGTGTGGGTGTGCACACACATACATATACATATGTATGTATATTAGCTGCTATGCTCACAAGTGCGGCGGCAGCGGCGGCGACTGCGAAGCCGTTGCGCACTTGAACTTGATATGCATATTTCTTGTTGTTGTTGTTGTTTTGGCTGCTGCTGTCTAATATGGCCATACCCACACACGCACACACACACACACACACTTACGCCTGCTTATCTACCCCTTTGGCTGCTGCGCTGCATGCTGCATCCGCCCCCGCACTTAAAAAGCATAAGCAAGATATTCGCTCTTTTTTTTGTTGTTTCTTTTTCGTGTTCTTTTGCTGTTCTGTGTTTTCTTCTTCTTCTTGTACTTTATATTTCGCTGTCTGGCACCGGCGTCGGCACCGGCACCGGCACTGGCTTTGCCTTTGCTGCTGCTGCTGCTGTGACTGCGACTGCGACTGGGGGTACTGGCCCTGGCCCTGGCCGGTTCTTGTGTGTGGAGTCACAGTTATTTAAAGTTCAACACTCAGGCACACATACAGGCGCAAGTACATGCACACTAACACATACGCACACTTGACTTTGGGCTGGGGCTCCAACTATAGCGAGGCTACGCTGCCGGACTCTTCCCTCTTCCTTTTTGGCCTGCTCTGCCGCTCGCAGCTTTTGCGCTCGCCTCTCACACTCACTCTCTCTTTCGCTCTCTATCTCTCCCTGTCTCGCTCACGCGCGCGCTATCTGTTTCTGCAGATTTTCTTTTGCGCTGCTGTTGCCGTTGCTGTGTTGCTGTTTAACTGCCCCGTTGTCGCATCTCTTATGAGTCTAATTCTTTTTGTTTCGTCTTGTGTCGCACTTAATATTTCCTTAATACATATACCAGATACAAATGTGTGCGTGTGTGTGTAAGATTGCGTTAAAAGTATCTCTCACCCTTTTCGGCTTGCTCTCCACAATTTGTTCAACTTCAATGCCGTCTGACATGTTGCTGGCTGGCTGAATGGGATGCTGCGGCTACTGTTGGGTTGCTTCTGCTGCTTCTGCTGCTTCTTCTTCTTCCTCTTCTAGTTCTTCGGTTCTGCTCGGCGTTGGTGCTGCGGCTGTTGCTGCAACTCTCGAGTGACAGTTCAGGGAATTTTTTACCGGCTTGGGTGCTTGGTGCAAATTTTGTGAACACAACACGCAAACGCTTAACGACAAGTGTCACGATAAACAACAACAAAATTAATAAAAAAAAAATTCTATTTATATTAATACATATATGTATGTATGTATGTATTACATTAATAACGAAAACAAAGACAAAGGCAAAAGGCACACAGGCTCTAATCGGGAGTGACCAAAATAGCCAACCGACTCCGTCCGACTCGCACGAATTGTTGCTCACGAATGCGGGCCGGCAGCGCGTGCAACTCCAACGAAGTGGCTGACGCAGAAGCAGCGCCAACCAGCACAAAGCATAACGACGAAAACGAAGCGGGCAGCGCAGTCGGCGAGCGAGCAAGTGGGAGCACCCCAGTAGGCTGACGAGCTGATGAGCGACAGAGACAGAGACTGAGAACGGAGCAACGGCGACGGCGCCGTCACCGCATTTGGTTTTATTTTCAGTTTCAGTTTCAGAGTTGAAAGTGCGCGGGCAGCGACGTCGACTGCGCCGTTGACAAAATGTTTGACACCGTTGCGCGCAAGCGCACATATGTGTGTGTGTATATAAATAAACATACATACATACATTCTTATATAGGAGCATGGTTTAGGATGTAAAGCACTGTACATCACATTTATTTATTATACATATGAATTTACTCAATGCTCTTCAAATAAATGCACTGTGACAAATCTTCAAGCAATTCCGTAAACTTGATTAAGCCTTAAAATTGAAATGGACTAGAAACTTTTGAGATTTTGTGGGCATATGAAAACATACGTACATATAAGGATATGTGAGTATAGTTGGTGATAAATGTATATGTATGTACATATATAGTATATGATAATTGGTAGAGTAATAGCTTATAGATAACTAACAAATTATCTAAATACATATATGATTATGATATACCATGTATAATATACATACATACATATATATATTTATTTATTTATTTATTTATTTATTTTTAACTTGAACTTATCTTTGAACTACGTATAGTCGGAATTCTATTAAACTTATCTGAAGTTCCACATAAACTTTTTCTATCAGTATAATGTACACAGTATAGTAATATCTAGTGCAGTATATTTTATAGAAATTATCATCACATTGAATTTGAAATGGTGTTAAACAAATAGACGCTTTATCTTTTCATGAAGTCATGCCCTAGCGATAGATTGAAAAATTTTTTTGGTCAAGAATTGATTTATTTCACTTATTATTTGTATTTATTTTTTGTTGGATACTGTTTTTCGCTAGACTGGGGTGGGGTTGGGCTGTGTGTGGGGGTAAGGGGGTTCGTGTGGTGCAGCCTGTTCCCAATCAACCGGTCGAACACTTGCAAGTCGAGGTGTAGGCTTAACGGCATCTTCGGCCAGCAATCTGTGCCGCATCAGCCTTGCCTCAGCCTTGAGGAGCGCTGCCTAGACCACAGCCGGCTCTCTGCCGCTGCCACTGCCGCAGCCGCAGCCGCAGCCGCAGTCACAGCTGCAGTCACCGGTTGCTGAGGCTGGGGCACGTTGCAATTAAGTGCGCACGTACTAGACCACAATGTCTCTCTCTGTGTGTGTGTGTGTGTGTGTGTGTGTCTGTCTGCTGTGTGTGCCTGCAAAATTCACTTCGGTTGGGGACTGAACGGGAGAGACGGCATTGGAGCTTATCCGGTGCAGGGCTTATCGTCGCCAGCGTCATCCACGTCGCTTTATCAGGCCGCAAACAGCGCAATGTGAATCAAGCAATCAGTTGGCTGAATTACCCGCTGCTCGGCAAAAATGGCTAAGATATATTATAGAGCGTGAATGTGGCTACAAATAATATCGAATGAAATATACTGCGAACAGGCGAACATCTATACAGACATACATATCTATATAGTATATCCCAGACATTAGTCTGACCTGAATGTGGCTGAGCGAGAGATTGTTTGACTATTCTATTATTCCCATTATTATATAATAATTATAATAGAGCAACAGCAATGATGCTGGAGAAGGTTCTGGGACTTACCACCAAAAGATGTATTGGCCATATATTTCATATTATCATATATTTCATATACA